TATTTCATGTGTTTTGTACCTTTAGACTACATTGATATATATGTCAATTACTTATTTCATGTGTGTTGTACCTTTAGACTACATTGGTACATACGTCAATTACTTATTTCATGTGTTTTGTACCTTTAGATTACATTGATACATAGGTCAATTACTTGTTTCATGTGTTTTGTACCTTTAGACTACATTGATACATATGTCAATTAATTATTTCATGTGTTTTGTACCTTTAGACTACATTCATACATTGGTCAATTACTTATTTCATGTGTTTTGTACCTTTAGACTACATTGATATATAGGTCAATACTTATTTCATGTGTTTTGTACCTTTAAACTACATTGATACATATGTCAATCAATTATTTCATGTGTTTTGTACCTTTAGACTACATTCATACATTGGTCAATTACTTATCTCATGTGTTTTGTACCTTTAGACTACATTGATATATATATATATATATATATATATATATATATATATATATATATATATATATATATATATATATATATATATATAATTATATATATATATTATATATATAAATATAATGTATATATTTATATATATATATATATATATATATATATATATATATATATATATATATATATATATATATATATATATATATATATATATCAATTACTTATTTCATGTGTTTTGTACCTTTAGACTACATTGATATATTTGTCAATTACTTAATTCATGTGTTTTGTACCTTTAGACTACATTGATATATATGTGAATTTTATTATTTCATGTGTTTTGTACCTTTAGACTACATTGATACATAGGTCAATTACTTATTTCGTGTGTTTTGTACCTTTAGACTACATTGATATGTATGTCAATTACTTAATTCATGTATTTTGTACCTTTAGACTACATTGATGCATATGTGAATTTAATTATTTCATGTGTTTTGTACCTTTAGACTACATTGATACATATGTCAATTACTTATTTCGTGTGTTTTGTACCTTTTGACTACATTGATATGTATATCAATTACTTAATTCATGTATTTTGTACCTTTAGACCTCATTGATGCATATGTCAATTTAATTATTTCATGTTTTTTGTACCTTTAGACTACATTGATATATATGTCAATTACTTATTTCCTGTGTTTTGCACCATTAGACTACATTGATATATATGTCAATTACTTATTTCATGTGTTTTGTACCTTTAGACTACATTGATACATATGTCAATTTAATTATTTCATGTGTTTTGTACCTTTAGACTACATTGATACATATGTCAATTTAATTATTTCAAAATACTCAGCCAGTCTTGGGAAATTTCAGGTCAGCTGTGTAAAGTATAACCTACTAATTTTATACAAATAATTTCAATGAACTTATTTGCAAGAACTCGCTCCCTTCGATCACCTCACTCTTTATCTCTATCATGAGGCTTCCTTTTCTTCCAGAACTGTTTTAAGGTGATATATTTAGGTTTTAAGTTTTCTTTAAATTAATACCATAATTGGTGACTTTTGAGAAACTCCGTGGCATGTCAGTTGTAATCTAATCTAATGACCACTGGTCATAACTTTTTTATGGGTCTATTTATTGTTGAAAATTTTGAAGGACTAAGATTTTTGAGAATTTTATGTTGTTCGAGACTTTTAGAGAAGGTTTTATAAATTAAATTTTCTTTATTTTAAAATTGTCAGGTTAGTCGTTTTAAAAAAATTGAAATTCGTCGTCTACTTTTTAGAAAAGTTTAAGAAAGTTATCTTTCTTGTTGTTGTTTATCAGTGAAAATTTGCAATCATTGTACTTATATTTCAGCTTACAACTGTTTTTCTGAAATTCAAATATAAACTGGTTTGAAGTAGATAATAGAGAATAGGTGAAGAGGGATTTTTCTTCTTCTTCTTTCTTCCTTCTTCTTCTTTCTTCCTTCTTCTCCTTTCTTCTTTCTTTTTCCTTCTTTCGTCTTCTTTCTCCCTTCTTTCTTCTTCTTTCTTCCTTCTTCCTTCTTTCTTCTTTCTCCCTTCTTCCTTCTTCTTTCTTCCTTCTTCTTCTTTCTTCTGATTTCTTTTTCCTTCTTCATTTTTCTTTCTCCCTTCTTCCTTCTTTCTTCCTTCTTCCTTCTTCTTTCTACCTTCTTCCTTCTTTCTTCCTTCTTCTTTCTTCTTCTTCTTTCTTCTTCTTTCTTCTTCTTCTTTCTTCTTTCTTCTTCTTCTTCAGCTGCCATACTTCATATGCCGTGCCTACATTCCAGCGCGGATTAACTAAACAAAGTCAAAGCAACACGAATATTGAAAATAACTTAAGATTTAATAATACAAATTTCTGATAAGAGATAAAAATTATTACAATTTCATTTGAAAGTGTATTTAAAATAATAGAACATAAAACATAATAATCTTTTTCTCATAACTTCCCTTCTCTTCCTATTTCGTTCATGTCGTTTCCTTTCTTTTATTGCTTCTTTCCTGTTACTTACTTTGAAATTATGTCTTAGTGAGTACTCAATGGATCCGTTATTTTGCTCTTAAGAGAAAATGTTTGCCAATTTTACATCCTCTCAAAAAGATTGCATCTTCCTAATTTTAAACTTAACGTTGCTAATGAGATACTAGTCTTTACATGTATGCAGTCAGTTATCACGCCAAATATTAATTAGTCCTACTTAGCTCTTACATGGCTATATTCAATGTATTAATTACTCATGCGTTCGAATAGTTTTTAACTGTCCAATTTTATTAAAACCCTATATTGCCGTTGTTCATAAATTTTGCTATTTTTCTAATCTAAAACAAGTTTGGAAGGAAGGATATAATTTGTTAAAAGCTGTGTGAAATAAACCGTTCTTTGAAATAATCAAGGTGTTTAGTTTAAACGACGTTCAGATATTCATTTTCGAATTAAAAAGTGCCACATCTTTAATTCAGTTACCTCTCATAATTCCGTAGGTTTTGGGGCATGCTCGAAAAGTGATACATTCGACTAACATTATTCCCAACAACATTGGTATGTTTTCTATAAAAAGTGATACATTCGACTAACATTATTCCCAACAACATTGGCATGTTTTCTACAAGCTGATTCGAGAGGTAATATTGATAGGTAGGTTCGCTTTTTAAAGCGGATAGCAGAATAAAAGTGTGTATTAAACAAAGGTAAGACTCAGGTGAATATTGGTGGTAGTTGGGGAGCTGGAGCACTTTGACCTTTGGCTGAAGACAAACCCAACTGTTGCGGATTTCCATAATAATTGATAAGCATACGACGCAGACTTGTAAAAATAATATACGAAAATTGTGTCAATCCTAGGCTGATTACTGCATCATATCCAACAGAAAATGAGAATTTCGTATTATATAAGGATCACTTACTATATCCAACATAGCGTGGTGTTGGCTTCTAATGTTCACAACAGTAACATCATCAAATCTCTTTTTTCAGCTTTCAACTGAAATCGATTGACTCATGGATGCGTGCGATCAATAATTCGTCTACATGTAAAATTTGGTCAAATTCTCAGTTCGAGAGATACATTACATGGCTCATAACGTGATGAAACGTCGATATGGTCTGCTTCGAATGGAACCCAATGAAGTTTGGGGCCAACATATTTCAATATTCTGAATTATTCAGAGGAATTTGCATATACGAATGTTTGCACGTAATAGAGGTATTGGATTTTAAGTCTTTAAATAATAAAATAATAAATGTTTCTTTTCTCTGTTGAGGTCATACCCATTACAACCGACAAGTCAACACAAAACAATGCGATATTCAAATGGATAAATCATTATTCAGAACTTGTTATAATGACGTTCTAATTTATCTGATGTCCTTTAATTCAGAGACAATTATGCTATTTAATTTAGGCCATAAATGTTGGGCCACGAAAATTATAACGTTACCAAATTTCATTTGAACAACGACTTAATTTACTTTGTGGTTGTGGTGGTGGCGGTGGGGTGGTCTGTCTCAGCCAACTTTGGCACTGGGACGTTTCTATAAGATTGCAAAAATGTTGAGATTCCTTTTCATATTTATCGGCAGATTCATTTTTTCAGTTACTTGGAAGAGGAATAGTTAACGATATATGATCCTTTTCCCCCAATCGTAGTAAAGATGCTTTCATTCAATAAATATTGCAATGAATTTTCCGAGAAAGGAAATAACCTTTTAGAAAAAGATCCAACAAGGCAAGCACGCGCCATTTATTTAGACAACGGGATTTAATCAGGTAAGTGATGGTGTAGATTTTATCATTTTCCTGGGTAGGGTTTTACTCAGGTAATGCTGAATGACTGATATCTGATGCAAAGCGGTCATAAAGTTGGTAACTGATGACAGGATATAATCGACTGGCACTTTTATGCGAATAAAACTATGTTCTAATTATCTAGAAATCGTTTGGAAAATGTTTATTATTGTGCTGTTCTTCAGACAATTGCTGATTCATTCATGAGGCTTTACATTGAGCAAGGACCGTATTTAGTTAAATGACTACGAATGTTTCTTAGCTCAAACTAAACATACAAGACTAATGCCCTTTGAAAATATTTCCTAATTTTGAATTTGTCATGCTGCTTTATTCCTCACACTGTCTGGTTTACGATTATGTAATTGAAGAATTTTGGCTTGGGTGTTCAATTTCCCTATATTGCAAGCCTAGTTGGTGGTATTCTCTTTTAGACATGTATAGAAAAGTCAAATTTGAACGACTTCTTTCGATGGATCATTTGCTTCTAACTACTAACCTTCATTTGATGGGGTTGAAGAATACAATTTATATTGAGAAAAAACCAATAATAGCCAAAATCTGGCCATGATTAAGCGATAATTTTTCTTCTTTAGCACTCAAATATCGGAAGTAAACAACTTCTATTAGAAATTAGAATCGGTAAAAAAAATTTTCCATGAATAAAATTAACATATTATGCCATTTTATGATCTGAATACAGACATACAGTTATTCTAATAATGTTGTTAGTACCATTTTTATGTCTATGGTATTACTCAGCCTGGGCTCGAACACGCGACCTCCCGCATCCAAGGCAGACGCTCTAACCGTTTAAGCCACCGGAAAATGCTAGTAATGGAACTTCTAATAAAAGTGGAGGTGTGCGAGAATTGGCATCAGAGGTAACTTGCAATTAAGAGCATAGGATCACGTGATTGCACTTGTCTTTAGTTTTCCATCACCTTTCCTTACATCACTCTTTCCAATCCGCACTATCCATTATAGGTGATAAAATAGAAAGAATCAACGTTATCCTACCACTTATTTCGGCAACATGCTGGGTTAACGTTGATTTGTTTTCTTCTTTACTGGGGTGCAGCTTTTGTGGGAATTTGCAACGTTACGCACACGTGTTAGGATTTATAAGGAAGGGTTACATCGTTCAGAGATTTTTTGCTACAAGCGTTGGAGTAACGACATCTGTACTCGTTTTCACTGGAAATGCGGTTAAATGATGTTTACAGAGACGGGAAACAAATAAGCTGATTGATTCAACTACCCAATATCATTAGCCCCGATATGAAATATAACCTTTTGAAATAAATATAAAAATTGTGTATTTCCATATACTAGTACCCTGTGGTTTTAAATGGCACTAGTCGACAATCTAAGGAGAGTTACTTGCTTGATTTATTAAGCTGCGTTAACCCATGGTTCAAACGGATGAGATAAAGATAAAAAAATATTTTTTTCTCAGTTAGTGCTAAAAACATTAATCAGTGTAGTTGAGCGTAAATTGTTAGTTTCATTATTTCTAGGATATAGAGGCAAATATAATTGTCGGAAGAAGAAACCTTAGAAACCGTGGAAAGAACCAAAAATCCACCGGAAGCTACTGGCAAGGCGACGACGGCTATAACCTATACATACAGATATGAGATGTCTCTGTTCGTTAAAGTCAATCACTTTGGACTATTCCGTCACCCGTTTTTCCTAATTCAATATCGTCCAATTTATGAGGGATAGAAAAATGATTGGTTTGCTGGGTGCTTGACTTTATGGGCAGATTTAAGCACTCAGGAGAAATGCATCTTTCCTTGTACACAATGACAAAAGTCTTTCCTTGTACACCATGACAAAAGTCTTTCATTGTACTGTACACAATGACAAGTCTTTCCTTGTACACAATGACAAAAGTCTTTCCTTGTACAGTACACAATGACAAAAGTCTTTCCTTGTACTGTACACAATGACACGTGTCTTTCCTTATACTATATACAATGACAAAAGTCTTTCAATGTACTGTACACAATGACAAAGTCAGTTAAATCAGAAGAGATTTATAAATTTTAAGCTTTACAGGTCAGTGATTTCTAAAAATTTAAGTCTCAACCATCGGGTATGTGTGTGTGTGTGTGTGTGTGTGCGCGTGTGCGCAAAATGATGCTTTAATGAGCCACTTAGCAATTTTGAACTGATAAATGAATCTAAGTATCAAATATTGAATTAATTCAATTTTCTAGTAATCAGTATAAATCAAGATAAATGTGCTGATAATGTTTCAAAATGTTTAAACCTGGTATTTTACATATTTTACATAATGATACCGTCAGTGATACCGGTGATTAAGGAGTGTCGTGTTACGCAGAGGGCTCGAGTTACACACGGATACCATTGGTAATACCAGCGGAGAAATGAGTGGCGTACGACACCTAGGACTAGAGTTACATAATTCCATGTTACACACGATGAGCGTGTTTCTCGTGCCATTTACTGAATATTGCAAATTGCTGTCACAACTATCACGAGAAAAGTGAGAAAATCGTACAAAAGCCATTTAGCTTTTGTATAAAATCTACAAGATTAACATAACACCAAAATGCAATCCCCAGACTTAACCAGTGTGTGCCGATTTAAAAACCTTGGAAATCAACCCAATCAATCATCTATGCTAATAAGAAGACCCTCCCCCTTAAAATTACATTAGAACACGACGTTCTATACCCAAAAGAATTCCTTTTTGCTGTTTTTTCTTCCGTGGCTATCTGCCATTATTGTTCAATAATAGAACTAATATTATATGACTTTTTCCAAACAGCACATGGATTCATAGATTTATAATTATTTCTCCTTTCAGAATTCATGAAATTTAATGCACACGGTATCTTTTATGTCACGTATAAATAAATAAAACAATTCGAAGAACATTCACCATAGATGTATATCTGGACCTCAGTTTTGAGAAATATAGAATTTCTCTAACAATTAATGGTTTTCTATGTGTAAACATGTCAAATATCCGACAATCGATTAATAAATGTAAATTAAAGTGATAAGATTCATTTTGACTAGCTGAGATTGTACAAATCATCCTGCAATCATCGAAATAAATTATTGGAGCAAACGTTCAACAATGCAGCTTACAACAATATGTTCTATATTTATTACAATCAAATTTTATTAAAAGAGACACTTTTTCTCGCATATGCGTGACATATTTGGGGCAGGTTAAGCACCATTACATCGTATTGACTAATATCTTTATTTCTTCCTTACAATAAGCAGAATACAGTCTATTTGACATCATAAGCGGGAGTAAAAAGAACTAAATATGAGAAATAATTATAATAATTTTTAAACAAATGCATATACGATGAACATACAGCACGACAACTATAGAAATTTAACTTGGTATATCTTCAAGTGATAATTCGTTTTCAGCATTTGTTCTACACATTATAACAATTAATTTCGATTGTTTGTACTGCTGATATTACGGAGGGTATCATACTGTCATTCAGCAATAGCCTTTTAGATCGTCTAAGAGAAACATATTCAGAAAATAAAGAGTTCAAATTTTTTTTCATATAACAAACAGACATGGAATTTAAAAATAGTTTTCCCCCTCAGAATTATGGTGTCTTTTATATCAAATTTATCTGGAGGGAATAAAGTCAACCTTGGAATTTGATAGCTAAATGACGAAGCAAAATACTTTTTTTTGCAAATAAACTACATGCAGCCTGCAAAGTTGCTAGAAGAAACTTATTTTGTTTCTATCAATGTAAGTTTCAATTGGTAAAATACCTAATAGGCTTAACTCGGTTCATTGTATATGATGGGCGCAAAATCGATGGCCTCTCTAGTACTAACACATTCTGAGGGTTTGGGTTTAAACTTAGTTTGACAACCATACAACACTCTTGTATTGCAATAATTTAATACGAAATCTTAGCCGTGATGGGATTAAATCCATTCTTGTTTACTTCAATATTAATAAAACTGAATAATGTGCTCATAGATTTATCTTTAGTCTCTTTAAGGTTGGTATCATATTTGCTATACATAGGGGCATTAACGTCTCAATTTCTCCATGATTCTGTTTCTTGAACACTTTGACAACCTAAGAACCATTGCCTATTATTTCTTTTGTAGTCAGAAGAGCTTTCAATGAATGCTAGAATGTTAGTTTTCTTGGAATTATATCTAAATTGCCATTGCATAGAATTATGTCCAATTTGGCATTGTATGGAATTATATCCAAATTGCTATTGTATGAAATACTCGTTACATATTGAAAGACGTAATAGTAGCGTATTATCTGTAGAACACAACCAAGCCTGACTTTGAAAGACTTGATAGAAGTATATTATCTGTAGAACACAGCCAAGCCTGACTTTGAAAGACTTGATAGAAGTATATTATCTGTAGAACACGGCCAAGAATTATCAAGAAAAAAAAAACATGCTTACACGTTGATAATCCATCGAGACAATACTTACAAACAACAATATAAGGCTACAGGGATAATATCCCACACTAGTTCGTTCTTCTTAACATGAAATATTCGAGAAATTCTTTGAAACAAAACACATATTCTATTCATATTCAAGTATAAGCTGACAATCACTTTCCATATTCTGAAATTTGATGTAATTTGAAATTTATACCAATTTGATGTAATTTGAAATTTATACCAATTTGATGTAATTTGAAATTTATACCAATTTGATGTAATTTGAAATTTATACCAATTTGATGTAATTTGAAATTTATACCAATTTGATGTAATTTGTTAAGTAAACCGTCATGCCAAACGTTGTCAAAGCTTTCTCTCTTTTAAGAAAATCTGAATATACCTTACTTTGATTTCATTAGCGTACCAAACTAGCTCAAGGACTGAAAAGTAGGTCATGTTACAACTGATACCTTTTTGAAAGCGCCTTCCCCAAATAATTGAAGTCTCAGAGGCTCGGAAAACTTAATATAGTTACATATCCTATTCAATAAAATGCTACAATAAACCTTACAAGAAACTGGACTTATTGCCTAATAAGAATCAGTTTTTGTATTGTCCCCACCCTTATACCGGAGTTACCTGGTATCGTGTCTAACATTTTCGGGACGGCGAATAAGTAAATAAAAACACAGACCTTCAAGATATTATATGTCTTTTTTGTTCTTTGCTCTTTATTAAAGTGCATTTAATTTTCAGTTTAAATCATATGACTGCAATAAACGACCAATAAACAGACGCCATGAATATTCCAGGTTATGCAAGGGGAGTCACTCTGATATTGGTGCAGCATTTCTACTATGGCCTAATGCTAGGATCTTCATGTTGCAAGAAGTATAAATCAGCACGAACAATGGACGCCATTTTTATGACACTCGCTCTGCCACATGTGCCGTCCAAGAGAAACTTATCAGACAGAATTGAAGAAATTCATGGCGAGAGTGAGAATGGACCATTCGCTGAGAATGGTCCACCAACATGAGAGTAAAAGTACATGTCGACCTCAGACTGTTTACACAGGTATTATTCCAGTAATAAATCGTGTGCAACAAAGTTTTAAAGTCAACATGAAGGTTGCTAGAAAATAACGACCTTTTATACTTCACAATTTTACTCTTTTGCAATCGTGGATTCTATCTCTTGGTATTTGACCAATAAGACGATAATGTGATCTAAATCTAGTATAACATCATTTGATAATATCAGACGACAAAATGGTTCAGCGATTTTTTTTACAGTGATAGCGATTTTAGGAAGCTATAGATTCGATCAGAGAACATGGGTTATTTTGCTATGAATTTAATTCTTGCTTATTGGTAGATACATTTCATGTCAATCT